AGAATATTTAAAAAACCACTAGCTGTAAATGCAGGGAGGTTCGGAGGAGGGGGAGATATAGACCTCCCTTGCAGACATGCAAGACATGTCTCATTAGATGCTGACAACAGACAATATTTGTGCACAAAATTAACATCAGGCAGCCCGGTACATAGTTCAATGTTTCCTAAGTCACATGTGCCATGGGTGTAACTAGCCCCCGGCACAAAAGTAGAAATATTTCTGCTGTATGTGTAGCGTGTCAAGCAGAATCACCGCACATACAAAGGAGTCGTGGACGGAGTAACCATTTTCATTTATAATACATTTTTCTAAGTAAGTAATAGAAGTCATAAAATTGCTCTAACAATTTTCATTGAATAGAACTGTTTACATTAAGACATTAAGTACCAGGGTCAAGCGGTGCTGTCCTTGGTAGTTGAAAGGTTTTAATCCCAGTTGAGTGCCTCTGGCTCCAAATGTTCCATTTCACAAAAACATTAGGTGCTTGCTTTCATTTCTAATAAATAATTATAGCCCCGACAACAAAAACAAATACCATGGCTCCTTTTCTCGTATTGGTTTGAATTATTCAGTTTGGGCATGGCTTCCTTTTCACCTAGCTAACTTCACATGATCAGCTCATCCTTATTGTAAGTCTGGTTAATTAGCCCTATTATAGATACTGGGTTTAACACCAGAATTCTGGGATGTATCTGATTTGCAATACCTTCTGTATTCCATCAGTAAGTTAACTCTCTTTATGAAGGTTTGTCATGAAAACGGAAATGTTGACATTAACAGAATAAAGAACGTATTGACTAGAGACTTGGAGGGCTGGAACGTGAGTACTTGATCTGAGCACCGGACATCGGTGATGTTACCCATGTAATTATATCCGTAATGAATGGCTAATAATGCACAGGTTACCTCCATGCAGTCTGTTCCTTAATATAGGGGAATTGGGTTATACATGTCCTCTAATCTTGGGCAGAACTAGGAAATGTAATGTATGTCCAAGTGCTGCCCTTAAAGTAAAGTTCTCTTCTTAACCCTTACACTATCCTGCACATTAACCCTTACACTACCCTACACATTAACCCTTACACTACCCTATACATTAACCCTTACACTATCCTGCACATTAACCCTTACACTGCCATACACATTAACCCTTACACTACCCTATACATTAACCCTTACACTACCCTGCACATTAACCCTTACACTACCCTATACATTAACCCTTACACTATCCTGCACATTAACCCTTACACTGCCATACACATTAACCCTTACACTACCCTATACATTAACCCTTACACTACCCTGCACATTAACCCTTACACTACCCTATACATTAACCCTTACACTATCCTGCACATTAACCCTTACACTGCCATACACATTAACCCTTACACTACCCTATACATTAACCCTTACACTTTCCTGCACATTAACTCTTACACTATCCTGCACATTAACCCTTACACTACCCTATACATTAACCCTTACACTACCCTACAGATTAACCCTTATACTATCCTACACATTAACCCTTATAGTACCCTACACATTAACCCTTATACTATCCTACACATTAACCTTTACACTACCATACACATTAACCCTTACACTACCCTATACATTAACCCTTACACTACCCTAGACATTAACCCTTATACTATCTTACACATTAACCCTTACATTACCCTACACATTAACCCTTATACTATCCTACACATTAACCCTTACACTAACATACACGTAAACCCATACATTACCCTAACACGCTACTCAATACTACATATTAACCCCTATATTACCCAAGCACACTATGTTAAACATTACCCCCTATATTACCCTCAATGGAGTTTTGCTCCATAAATAGATTTTGGCCTGAATTCTGATACTGTGTCCCAGCTCAGTAAAGGATCTATACATTATTATTAACCCCAAATGATCAATGTAAAAATAAGTAATTAGAATAATCTATCCATTAAATATCTTATTTAAAAACGTAATGACCCAGTGATTAAATAACAGCTGAGCAACTAAACTATTAGTTTACTAACAGAGAAGAGCGATATAAAGTTCTGGTTTATTAACGGCTGTATACAATATTGGTTTAGTAACAACTGGGCTGTATAAAGTGCTTATTTTGTAATGTTTGGGCTATATAAACTTCAGGTTTAGTAAATGCAGGGCTATATAGATGCCTATTGATTTAGGAAGAGACAGGCTATATAAAGTTCTGGTTCACTAGAGGCAGGACTATATAAATTCCTGGTTTAGTAACAGCTAGGCTGTATGTAATATACATATAAAGTATATTTATAAAGTATTGATTTAGTAACAGATGGGTTATACAAAGTTCTGGTTTTGTAAATGCGGGCTGTGTACTGTGTTGGTCAGTAACAGCTAAGCAGTATAAAGTACTGGTTTAGTACTTTATACTAATTATACTAATTTAAAAAAACTGGGCTACATAAAGCTAAGTTGTTCAAAATGTATGGCATTCCATGCAGCACTGGGTTTTTATGGAACAGACTTCGATGACTGTTTCAAAATGTCCTTGGTCCTTAAATGGTTAATAGATTGATATTTTAGTCTGTTATGTACACAAACCATGAAAGCAGCATGTAAGGGGTTAATTGGAAGCTCTCCTGGTGCTCTGCTTCCTATTCCCAGTGCTATTGGCTATGACACAGTTCAGTCTGCTGCACAGTCAGTAAGAGCTCTCACTGTCACTTGTGGTGGGAAGCAGATGGACCTAGCAGAGAGAGGACACAGCTGGATGTGCACTCTGCAGGATTGCTAGATACTGGGGGACTGTGATCAGAGAGAAGGAAAGAATTCTTTCAAACAAGGAGTAAAGGATACACTGTGTCTGTCTGAGAGGTAAGAATAAAAGTTCATAGAATTCTTCTGTCCATGTATTGTGCACAGGATACAATTCTGTACATTGAGCAGTGTGAGCTCAGGTGGGATTACTTCACAGTGACCGTGAGGAAGCGTGGACATGTTTAGTGCCAGTCTTACTCTATAATGTCAGGGTGGGCAATAGTGCCAGTCTGGTCCAGATATATAGAGGCTGTGTGTGTTTGTTCAACAGTGGTACAGCGCTCTAGCTCAAAAGTGACAAGGTGGTCTGGCTCGATAGTGGTGGCATGGACTTGTTCAGTAATGACATTGTGGCATGGTGCACTAATTTATTAGTGGTAGTGTGGGCTTGTTCATGGTCAGGGGCGTAACTAAAAAACGAAAAGAACCTCAGGGCCCCGTGCAAGAATCTGTTAAGGCTTCCCCTTTCTCGCTATAGTGCAGAGGTGGCCAATAGGTAAATCCTCAACTGCCATACAAATTCCATGATGCTTTGCCAGCGGTGGATCTACTATTTAGCCATCCTTGCTGAGTTCTATTAGTTTGCGGTATCTGTGAATATAGGCGTGTTTTTCTATGAAGTATTTTTGTGAGAATGTTTGTGTATTTGTGTATAATGCTAATGTTTGAATGCAGGAGATCTGTTTGTGTGTAATTTTGTCATTTAAATTCAGGGATGTGTGTAGTGTTGGTTTTTGAGTGTAATTTATTTTATGTAGCGTGTGTATGAATGCAAGTATATGTTTGTAATGTTGGCATGTGAATGCAGTGGTGTGTTTGTGTGTAATATGACTTCACAAATACATACACACTGTCAGACACACATACAGGGGCGTATTGCCATACACAAAAACACACATACAATACACTGCCATACACAGATGTCTACAGATGCATATGCACACAGATAGAGAGGTACACACACAGATTGACACACATACAGTTACACTGGCACATTGGGTCTTTTTACACAGATTCATACACAAACAGATCCACAAACACTGACACACATGTACAGATACATACAATGACACACACAAACAGCACCACACATGCACAGATACATACAATGACACGCACAAACACTGACACACACATTGTACAGATGCATGCTCTGATACACACAAACACTGACACACACAAACACACATGCACAGTTGCATACACTGACACACACAAACACTGACACATATTTAGACATGAATACACTGACACACACAAACACTCACACACGAACAAATACACTGACTCACAC